AAAAAAAAGGGAAAAGGGGAAAGGAAAAAAAAAAAAAAAAAAAAAAAAATCATTCGAAAGTGACAAATTGGTTTCTTTTCTCCTGGAATAAGAAGTAACCTGGGCTGGCTGGTTAGCTCAGTTGGTTAGAGTGTAATGCTGAAGACACCAGGGTTCAGGGTTCCACCCCTGTACTGGCCAGCCACTTCCCCCCACTCCCCCCAAAAAAGGGAAAAAAGAGTAACTACTCCCAATGTATTTGGTACCAAATAGGTTTTCAAACTAGGCTTGGGTCACCCTGGACTGGATGAGAAACTAAATTGAGAAGGTGTCATAGTGTGTTTATAAAGACCACGGTACCAGGCTAGAGGACTGAATTGGTCAATAATAGGTATATGATTAAGGACAAGACATGTAGCTGCTTTGAGCCCCAACTTATTTCTAGAACTTATTCCCCAAGTAATGTCAGTGTTTTTTGAAGCCGACAAGAGTGGAAGGGTGAAGAGTGCTTTGAAAAGGTGGTATACAAATGCAAAAATCACGACCCCCTGCAAGCTAAGTGTAAGAGTAATGGGAAGCCATTGAAGAGATTTAAATAGAAGGGGGAGGGGAGTGGGAAGGTCTGGAAAAGAGTTTTAACAATTGGACTGGAATGGAGTTTTTTCACCCTTGGGTTTGAGAAGAAAAAGCTAAGTTCAGAAACATGCTCAAGCATGTGTTACTTTACAGCACTGTTCATTTAATTTCTGAGACTCAGTTTCCTCATTTGTAAAACAGGAAAACTAATAAATGACAAGTATACTATGACGATTAAATGAGAGAAATACAGAAAGCACATAGCACAGTGCCTGTGAACTGTAGAAAAGCAATAAACGTTAACCCCTTGCTACCTACATGCTTTCCACTTTATCTGTCATTCATCAGATCATTAAAACCCACTGAATCCCTACTCTGCTGGGTGCAATGTAAATTACTGTGAATCAAACAGAGTAAAAGGATACATTTTCTTCCCAGGCCTTGGAGCTGAAATAAGGCCAGTGTGGCTGGAGCTCAGAATGCTCAAGGGTTAGAGAGCTGGAGAGGCAAGCAGGGGCCAGGCTGTTCACTATTTGTAGGCTACACAAATTTGTAGTCTAATTCAAGTTTTGCCTTAACCTGAATAGCAATGACAAGCCATTGAAGATTTTTATAGTTTTTTGATTTGGGGTTTTTTTTGGCGGCTGGCAGGTATGGGGATCTGAACCCATGACTTTGGTGGTATGCGCTCTAAGAAGAATTTCTAACAAGAAAGAGAGAAATCTATGCAGAAAGAATAGAGTAAGAATGGATTTTGCAGTAACGGCAAATATTTGCTTGAGCTACTGAAACTCGATAATAGTTTGAATCCGGTGGGAAGGCAGGAACACATTCCATACAGATTTAGGAGACAAAATAAAAGTATGTGGTGTTTTAGCTAATGGAGAGCAAGACTACAGGGAAATAATTTTCCAAACCCAAGCCCTGCTCCTTCTATTTTCCCATATTGCCCACTTGTAAATTGGCTTTTGCTTGTTTTCTCATTGTTTCCCTTATCTAATAAAGGACCTGCTAATCAACATCGTGTTTGAGAAATCTCAGGAATTCTTCTCTCCATCCACCCAGTGTCTTCTTTTTTTTTTTTTAAGATGACTCCTAAGGGGATTTTAACTCTTGACTTGGTGTTGTCAGCACCAGGCTCTCCCAAGTGAGCTAACCGGCCATCCCTATATGGGATCTGAACCCTTGACTTGGTGTTATCAGCACCGCACTCTCCTGAGTGAGCCACGGGCCGGCCCCTCCCCAGTGTCTTCTCAGTTTCTTCTTCATTAGTTATGCCTTGAAAGTGAGCAGTTTAATTGTATGGCATCAAATGAGAATCTGTAACAGACTCTTCTTTCCAGAATTTCTCTGAGGAAGAATTACATGAGGAAACTGCGATTTTGTCATTGGTTCCAGAGGAACGTGAAAAAGAACAAGTGGAACCAAGTGTTTCTTCAACTTATGATGTCAAACCAAAGAGGTCTAGGAAAAGTAATAAAGGTATGAGGGCGGGGATCGCTCAGCTACCTGCCCCTGTAACTCTCCCCTTGCCTACCCACCGTAAGAGATGTCTTCAACTCGCACGCTTCTCATTTGCTAAGCGCCATGTCCTGCCTGCCTTTTTAAGACACAGAATAGGCGGGTGGAGCGCTTTGGACAAAGCATGCGCTGATGGGGCAGCGAGACATAAGTTCAAATTCCCAACCCATGAAGCTCAATCTTCTCTTCTATAAAAATAAGGATAATATGTACTTGCCTCCTAGGAAGATTAAATAATTTTGAAAAACATCTACTATTTTGCTTGGTGATCAAATACATAGCAGCTCTTAAAAGCACGACCCTTTGCATCTGTTCTCAGTGCTTCATATAAAGGCATCAAGTTTAAGTATTTTCAGGAGATTTTATTTTCTGGGCCGATAATGAGAACTTGATCATGAAGTCAATAGTGATGGATTAGAGCCCAGTGCAGTGAAGTGAGATGGGGTGCTGTAGAGAGAAGTGAGGCAGGCTGACAGAACAGTGACCGTTGTTGGTTCGGGGTAGAGTTAGGAGGGGTTTCTTTGATTTCCATGGGAAGAGCTGATGATATTTTGTAGCCCCAAATCTAGATATTTTGGAGGAGAAATGCAACATAATGTTTTATTCAGGTGGTTGTTGAGCTGCAAAAAACAACGATCTAGTTAGTATATGTAGTATAAAAACAGAATTTAGAGTCTCAATGGAGGCTTGAGTCCCAGGTCTGCCATTTTAACAGCTGTGTGATCTTGGGCAAGTTCTTTAATTCCTGAATCTGTTAACCTCACTTGTAACATGAGAAAAGAAATGGATATGTATATTTGCAGATTGCAGTGTGGAAAATGTGCGAAAATCTTTAAAATTATAAAGAATCTTACAAACATTAAGTTACTACTTTCGTTCCACTCTTCTGTCGGTTCATCTTCCTGAAACAGGTGTACGATTCAAACCTCTCTCAAAACGTACGTGTAAAACACCAGGCCTTCCCCTGCCAGCCATTTTGCCTCCGATTAATGAAGTGCGTCGGGACACCTTGCGGGAGTGGTGCCAGCAATTGAGTTTGAGTACCGATGGTGAGGTTAGTACACTGGTGGAAATCTCTGCTGCTTGGAATGAATATGGGAAACTTTGTCAACCTTTAACTTTTATTTCCCTCTTAATTTCCTTAGAAAACTGAGGTTTATCTGAGGCTCCAGAGACATGCTTACCAGGAACAAAAACATGTGAGTAAAGATGGGATGAGCGTGGTAATGTGCGATTATTTCTTTTTTGTTTGTTTTGTGTTGTGCTTTGGCACTTCCCAGTACAGGGATGAAAGCCTGGACCCTGGTGTGGTAAACACCATGCTCTAACCTGTGGGGCTAACTGGACAGCCCCTGAAGGAGGCTTCTGACCAAGGTGTCCCTCCTTTCCCACCATCTCATGTATGTTGTACCTCCAATGCATGGGTTCTTAACTGTGGCACTATTGACATGTTGGGGCCAAATAATGTTTTGTTGTGGGGGCTGTCCTATGCATTGTAGGATGTTTAGCAGCATCCCCAGCCTCTACCCACTAGATATCAGTAGCAGCTGCCCCACTGCCCACGCTCAGTTAGAACCACCAAAAATTTCTCCTAGTTGAGAACCACAGCTCTAAGGGCACTGATATTCCTAAACCTTTCCTACACTGACATACATGTTCAGGTCAGTATAAAGAATGATGCAGTTGACACTAAAGTCCTTATGGCAGTGCATTTCACTGAATATTCATCATGAATTTCATTTTCAGGCTATTCCTGCAACACCACAGGAGGCCAAACTGCGTTCAAGGAAATGCAAGGCAGTGACCAAGAGAGCAAAGCTTCAAGAAAGTCGTGAGATGAGTGAAAGAGAGGAAGAGACAAACATAGTGGAAGTAGTAACTCCAGCTCAGGAAGCCATGCTGGCATCGTGGGGAAGAATTGCTGCGAGGGCCGTTCAGCCCAAGGCTTTGAACTCGCAGCCCATTCCTGCTTGTGTTGAGGCCTTTTTGCTGCAAGCCTCTGGTAAGATCAACCCTAAACTGTGAGCACCATTCCAGAGAAAAAAGGATAATTTTTGTTAGCCTCAGACTGAAAGGTGGTGAAAGGGAAGGAGTTCACTGAAATACCTGTAGGTTAGAAATTGGATGACATAGGACGTATTTTTTTCTTGATTGATGGACAGCCAAGTGTTGTCTGGATGAATCTCTAAATCAGCTGATTAAGTGGTGACCTTTCTCATCACTGAGCAGAATTCCAAGGAGGAAAGACAGCATAATCTAATGATGTGGTCAGCCACAGCCTGAGACCTTCCCCTTTTCTTTCTCCCTTCCTCAAGGCATTCATAATATAGTGAATAAGAGGAAAAGTGTTGGAATTGAACAACCTTGCTTCAAATCCTTGCTTTACCATTTCCTAAGTATGTGACATTGGCAAGTACTTAGTTTAAATCCTGCTATCCTGGTCTATAAAATGAAGATTACAACTTATTTCATAGAATTGTTGTGAGATTTAAAGGAGACACAGAATGTGGCACATTGAAAGCAGATAATGATTAAAAGGTTTGGGGCCCCTGTCCTTTAAGAAATTTTGAGGATAACTTAACCCCACCTTTCTCCATCTCCTGCTTCTCTGTCCTTGCTATTTTCACTTTCATCTCCAGCAGACCCTATCCCAAGCCAGAACAAAGCTGCTTTCCTCTTTGGCTTGAATCTTGAATTCTTTGGCTTCTCTCCTTCCATCACCAGAGGTGTTCTAGATCATTCTTTTACTTGGGGCTGACTTGTGTGGTAGGGCACAATGTTCACCATACACGGAACTCAGGAAGGAAGACTGGGAGCTGAAACTGGCCTATCCTCTCCTCCCCATGGCCTGTCCTTTCCTCCACATGGCCTGTCCTCTCATCCCCAAACTGTGCTCCTTTCTGTGTGGAGGAATGGGCACCTTTTACTAATTTGTACAAAGGCATTGTCCAGCCACAATGCTGGGTGCCTGGGGGCTGCCTCCCCAAAAGATGACACCTTTTTCTAATTTCTATTAATATGTCATATGAGCTAGTATCATCCCACAATTAACTCCCCTTTTTATGTTCCTCTTTTTTTTTTTCCTTTCTCTTTGGTGGCTGGCTGGCACGGGGATCTGCATGTTTCTCTTTATTCAGCAGTTACTAAGCACCTTCTGTGGTCCGGCAGTATGTCTAGCTGCTGGGTATATTGTACTAAAAACACATATAGTCTACTCTTGTTTTACAGTCTAACCGGGGAGATATTACACTATATGCACTGCTTATTTATAGATAGTTAAGCCACTGTGACTGCTCCTTTCTCTCAGTTTCAGACACTTGGTATCTTTACCACTTACTTTGTTTTCCTGTAAATATCCCATCTCCCTGGTTAGATTGTCCCTTACAGTTTTAAACAAAAAGACTCTTGCCTATTTTCTTTAGTTGAGGCAATACAATGTAGTGGTTGGGCAAATGGATTCTTAGTCAGAATACCTGGATCCATGTCTTGGCTTTGGGAAAATAATGATATTTAACACTATAAGCTTCAGTCACCTCACCTGTAAGTAAAAAGCAAATAGAAGGTAAATATTAATAATGTACTTAAGAATAAATGTATTAGTACATGTAAACCACTTAGCAAAATTCTGGACATAAAGCAAGCTTTACAAAATGGTAAGTATTATTATCCCTTCTGCTATATAGTTTGTTAAGTTGTATCATAGCTACTTGTGGTCTACATTTTTTATGCACCTCATTCAATTACTTTGTGAGCAAAATATGAGAGCAAAATCAAGAGTGACTTTCTGAGAGGGTGTATCAGGGTGCTATCCTGACCTTTGCTGCTTATCTTTGCTTCTGTTTCCCTCTGCAGGTGTCAGGTGGTGTGTGGTCCATGGCAGACTTCTCTCTGCAGATGCAGAGGGGTGGGTTCGCCTGCAGTTCCGTGCGGGTCAGGTCTGGGTGCCTGACACTCCCAGGAGTATGATTTCTCTCTTCCTGTTACCAGCCTGCACTTTCCCATCCCCAGGCCAAGAAGATAACATGTTATGCCCTGAATGTGCTAAGAGGTAATCTTTAAGTATCTTTCTAATTATGGCACACAGAAAAATAGATATATATAGAAGGATTTCTGAATAATTTAAAAGGAGACGGCAGAGGGCAAACGTGTTGTTTTCTTTATTTCTTTTTTTTTTTTTTTAAAAGATGACCAGTAAGGGGATCTCAACCCTTGGCTTGGTGTTGTCAGCACCACGCTCACCCAGTGAGCAAACCGGCCATCCCTATATGGGATCCGAACCCGTGGCCTTGGTGTTCTCAGCACCGCACTCTACCGAGTGAGCCACGGGCCGGCCCCAAACGTGTTGTTTTCTTAATTTGCCATATAGATCAGGCAAAAATAGGAAGGAAAAAAAAAAAACACTTAGTGGATTAGAATTGAGATAAACGGGGTTAGTTCTTAGCAGCCTTAACAAAGTATCTGACTAGTTAGGGCTTTGTCTCTGCCTCAATTTTAGGAACCTGCTCTAAAGAAAAAAACAAACATTAGAGTTATCACTACATGTCAGATACTCATCTGTGGATACAAAAGTCAGTGAAACAAAATCCATGTAGCATACTCAAATGGAAATGAGTAAGAAAAGCTATGAAAGTCTGTGAGAAGTACCTATATCGGAGTAACTCAGAGACTTAGAGACTCTTCAGAGGTGATTACATATACTGAGGTTAAGTTTGCCAGTTGGAAAGTAATAATTTGGCCACTCTGTAGTGGAAATAGCCAGTCAAACACATGAAAATAAAAAAAATATGGCATACTTAGAAATTGCAGGTAGGTCAATATGGTTGAAGCTTATATTGACAAATGAGTCTGGGGAGGGGAGGAGCGGACCATATAGACCTTTCGGATCTATATGTTATAGACTGTTCGTTAAAGATCTATATGTTATCCTGTAGGTCATTATTTCTCAGTCACTTTTGGGACACAGACCCCTTTGAGAATATAATGGTAACTACATACCTCCAAGAAAATATACATTGGACATACACACACTTTTAGATTTTATATAGACCATAGAACTCCTGATGCCCATCGTGAGTATAAAATTCAGCTTTTGGTGATGGAATTGGGTGGAGGTGATGTTGAGAAGTTAAGGGTTTTTTTGTTGTTATCGTTGTTTTGTTTTGCTTTTAAGAAAGTGAACTAAAATTTTGCAACAGAAACTAGATTGGAGAGTAAATAAGAAATTGCTATTATAACTCAGAAAAGATATAATTTATTACACTGGCAAAGAATTTAAAGTGAAATTTAAGAGATGTAGGAGTAAAGGGAATAAGATGGTGTCTTATAAGATGGGGGAAAGGTAAAAATCCAATTTCATGCTAAAGAATATATGATACTTGGGACATTCTAGAGAGAATGTGGGTTAGAGAAAAACCCTTTGGGAGTCATTAGCATATAAATTGTAGATAAGAGTGTGTAAGAATTAGAAGGGACTGAGGGAAGAACCCTAAAGAGAATCAGCACGTCAATGGTAGGTAGGCAGTGAGAACCAAAAATGTACCATTCGAGGCTGGGAGATAAGTCAGTAAAGGAAGCAGTGGGTGGAGAGGTTTAGAAGGAAGAAATGTTTGTCAGTAAGATGGCCATGTGAGGTAATGACTGACATGGAGCTGTTGGGACTGGCAGTTTAAGACATAGTGGCCTTTTTGAGAGAAGGTTGAGAGAGTTACTAGAAGCAGAAATGTGACTGCAGTAAGTTGGAGCAGAGCACATGAAGAACTAGGAGCAGGACATATTAATAATCTTTGTTAGATGAGCCGGGAAGGAGAGAGCAGTTAGCTTAGGCAGTAACCTCAAGGGAGGTTCCTTTCCTTCTTTTTTTTTTTCTCTAGGAGCAGGACATATTAATAATCTTTGTTAGATGAGCCGGGAAGGAGAGAGCAGTTAGCTGAGGCAGTAACCTCAAGGGAGGTTCCTTTCCTTCTTTTTTTTTTTTTTTTCCTTTTTTGGCATCTGGCTGGCTCAGGGATTTGAACCTGTGACCTTGGTGTTATAAGGCTGCACTCTAACCAACTGGCTTTCCTTCTTTTCTTCTCAGTCTCTCTCTCTCTCTTCCTTTTTCTCTTCCTGCCTCTCTCCTTCCTTCCTTTGTTCCTTTTTGTTTTAATGGGAAAACTACAAGCATGTGCGAATGGGGAGGAGCTGTGGGAAGGGAAGAGAAGGAAAAGGAGAGTATATAGACAAACGAAGTGAGACTAATTGCAGAATATGAATCCTGAGAATAAGCAGCCCATCCTGTTGTTTTACTGACTACATAAAGCCTTTGTGCACATCATCTCTAGTTTTGGGAGCAAACTACTCAGGAACTCCAGGAATGAATTCCTTATTTCATCGATCATTTTCAAGGCGTTGGTATGGAAGAGTGTGTGTTACTCTAGCAATTTTTCACAATTCTTCTCTAACTTATAGGAATAAGAAGATAATGAAAAGATTAATTACTATGGAGAAGAAGAAGAGGAAATCTGGTTTAAACACATTGTAGGAGATCAGAATATGCCACCCCAAAATATGCCTAAGTATTATTTTTGCACAAGTATTATTTTAAGCTGTAGGCAATTGAGAAGAAGCAGATATAAGAAACTCTCTGCCTTGCCACTACTGTACCTGCATACCCCCCACTTAGATTCAATAAGTGTTAACATCTTTCTGTATTTGATATACTATTCAGACATATGTAAATAAATTTTTTATTAAATCATTTAAAAGTAAGATGTGGAGATCATGATAGTTAGATTCAATAAGTGTTAACATCTTTCTGTATTTGATATACTATTCAGACATATGTAAATATATTTTTTATTAAATCATTTAAAAGTAAGATGTGGAGATCATGATAGTTTACCAAAATATGTCTGCATGTATGCCCTAAGAAAAGGATAATTTTTGCATGAGTACAGTACTATTACACTTGAGAAAATAATTTGTATATAATATCTTATAACCAGGCATTTTTTATATTTTCACAACTGTCCAAATTTTTTCTAAACAAAATCCAATCAATGTTTACAGTCAGTTAAAAGGGAATAGAAGGGAAACTCCTCATATGACAAAAGCCATATATGAAAAGCCCACAGCTAGTATCAATATTCAAAGGTGAAAGACTGAGAATTTTTCCCCTGAAGTCAGGAGTGAGACAAAGATGCCCATTTCAAAAACTTCTATTCACCATAGTACTGAAATTTTGAGCCAGAGCAATTAAGCAAGAAAAATAAATAAAGTCATCAAAATTGGAAAGGCAGAAGTAAAACTATGTTGTATTCTCAGATGACATTATCTTACATATAGAAAACCCTAAATCATCCTTCAAGCTATTAGAGCTAATTAACAAGTACAAGAAAGTTGCAGAATACAAAAACAACACAGCAAAATCATTTGTATTTTCATATACTAGCAATGGTGATCTGAAAAGGAAATTAAGAAAATGATTCCATTTACAATAGTATCAAAAAGAATAAAATCAATTTTCAATGTATAAACATTTCTTGTATATTTGTACCACTAGCTTATGATGCATTTTAATTTATCTTACATATTTTTTATTTGAAAAATTTTACAACAAACAAAAGTTGAAAGAATTATAACAATTCACCGTTTGTTAATATTTTTATTTATTTGCTTTATTTTTTTCGGTGGCTGGCTGGTAAGGGGATTTGAACATGTGAGCTTGGTGTTACCAGAACCATGGTCTCCCAATTGAACTAATTAATCATATCCATTTGTTAATATTTTTGCCACATTTTGCAAAGATCTTTTTTTCATTTATTTTTTACAAATTAGTTATTCTGCCAGATAGAATAATCTGACACATTCTTTCCCCCTAAATATTTAAGCATTCTTTGTTTAAGAATAAGGACATTCTTCTACATAATCAAAGTATCTATCAAACCTAAGAAATAAACATTCTTTCTGTAATAGCATGCAATATCTAGTTCAAATTCAAATATTCTTAATTAGCCCCCAAATATGTTTTTTATCTTTCTTTTAAAAATTCAGAATCCAATTGAGTTTCTGGCATTGTATTTGGTCGTTATATCTTTCTAGTTCCTTTTAATCAAGAAAGGTCTTTTATGATAATTGGGTTTTTTTTTGTTTTTTTGGTTTTTTGTGGCTGGCCAATCCAATACTGACTTTTTTAAGAGAAGGGTTAGTTTTCTTGTACAATATTACAACATTCTGGATTATCTGTTTCCTCATGCTGTTCTTTGACTAACTTTTTATATTTCCTATAAACTGGAAATTAAGACTGGGGCTCGAGATTTAGATAAAACATTTCTGGCAAGAATGCTTTATACATGAGATTGAGGACTTTACATTGTTTTACATTGAGAGGTGCTTTATTTTATTTATTTATTTATATAAACTTAATCTCCTTTATTGCATCACACAATCTGTGATTCAAAACCTCTTATTTTCCCAAGTGAACGACTATTGAAATGGAGCAGCAATAGTAAAATATAAACTAATTTTGGTGGGGTGGGTGGACAGATCTTTTTTTGATGCTGCTCTTCTCTTTAACACAATCACTCTTCTTAAAAAGAGCTATGGCCTCAATCCTGTCTGCACATTAACAGGTGCATATTTAAATTGTCTCATATTAAAAGTATTATCACCAGATTTTTTTGTGGTATAGGTGTTTTCACTTTGGAATTTGTAACTAGTCTATAGGGTGATACTTTGACATCGTATGACTATCTTGCCCCTTCCTATGACTATCTTGCCTCTTCCTTCACCCGAAGAATTTAGCATCTAATGGTCATCCATATCTGAATCAATTATTAGATTGAGGGTTGCAAGATCTTAGTCCGTATTCATTTACTAGCTGGCATTCTACTGTAAAGAGCATTCTTCTCCCTTTTTTCTTTGTTGAGTATCATTGTGGCCTCATGGATTTAAAATGTTTTAAATTACTTTATTTAAAAAATTGTTTTAAAATTTAACTTAATTATTTGCTATGACCAGTCAATATTATTAAGATGTATTAGAAGTACTCTTGGGTTCAATTATAGTTCAACTATAGTTCACATATAGTTTTTTTTTTTTTTTTTTTTTTTTAAAGATGACTGGTAAGGGGATCTTAACCCTTGACTTGGTGTTGTCAGCACCACGCTCACCCAGTGAGCAACCAGCCATCCCTATATGGGATCCGAACCCGTGGCCTTGGTGTTATCAGCACCATACTCTCCCGAGTGAGCCATGGGCCGGCCCCCACATATAGTATTTGTTTGTTTTTGTTGTTTTTTTGGTGGCTGGCCAGTATCAGGGATCAAACCTTGGACCATGTTGTTATCAACACATGCTGTAATCAACTGAGCCAAACGGAGAGCCCTCAATTAGTTCACGTTTTAAATTGTTGCATTACATGAGTGATTTCTACATACTGCTTTATCTGGTTTCATTTTTTTTAAAATTCCATTGTGCCTCAATTTTTTTTTTTAATTAATTTAGTTTTTGGCAGCTGGCCAGTATGGTGATCCAAAGCCATGACCTTAGTGTTATAAGGCTGTGCTGGAACCAACTGAGCTAACTGGCCAGCCCCCTCTTTATTTTTTTTATTTCTTTTTGTTGGTTATGAAGATTCATGGAGTACAAAGCAAATTGTCACCACGCATGCCCAAGATGTGATGGCCAGATCTTTTTTTTTTTTTAACATCTTTATTTTTTAGACTTAAAGGCTGATGAAAAACCATTACTAATCCTATTAAAGAAAATCCAACATTTCAATCAGAAAATATGGTAACTTTATTTACTCATTAAATACTTTTTAAGTTTTCTAAAGCAAGTTGAAAACATCCAACATGCATTTTTAATTTCAGTACAATGGATTTCAGACCAAGTACACATGTATATGCATCAAAGCTAGATTACAAATTATCGTAGTCATCATCGTCATCACCTTTATGCCTTCTTTTCAATGCATTTGCTGATTCATTGGCATTTTGTGATGATTCATTGGCATTATTTTGTGATGACACCATATTAGTGGTAATAAGAATGTTTTTGGACCCAATTAATGATGGATTAATCAGAACATTCTCAACTGCTGATGTTGTAGAAACTCAATGTTTTACTGAACCAGTACTTAACCTTGAAACTGTTATTCCTGCAGAAGTAGATGCCTTTTTTTTTTTTTTATAAAGACTTAAGCCCATAGTTTGATGCTGTTAAGCACTATCTATCAGTACTTTAGGATCTGAATGTGGCTTTATCCATGGCAAAGGGGTCTGATTTCTTTGCCTTGCAATATTGCAATATCTAATAAAAAAAATCTCTTAGGGAAAGGGAGGTAAAAGATTGATCTGTGAAACACTGGATGGCCAATCACATGTCATCTGCATCAACAGTAGCTTTCTTATCATATTCTTAGTTTGAATAAATTTTTGCATCATTTAGAATTGTGGTCACATATCAGAAGGCAAATTCCAACATCTGATTTATAACTCTTGGCTCACATTCCGTAATCCCCATGTCCTTCAGGATTTGTGCCATCATCTGTGCATCCTTCAGCATGTTCTTGGAAGATGCCATCTTGCTAGACTCCATGATATCCAGGGATCCAGCTAAATCACCCATGTTAACATATTTGTCTTGATCTTGATGCAAGTTTTTCACCTAGTGTGGTTTCTCCAACTCTTTCTCTTGGTGTACCAGTGAGCAGGATGTTTGGAAGCAACATGGTCCTCAGCATGGTGGATCTGAGTGCCTCCACTCAGGCGCCCTGCATGCCTCGTTTCATAATAAAGATTATACTGGTCTCAATAAGAGAGTTTGGAAATGTTATCTCCTTTCTATTTTCCAACAAATTGTATAATAAGGGAATTATTCAGCACTCAAAAGTTGTGGTATTCACATTTAAAATTATCTAGGCAAGAATTTGTGTTCAGGGGAGGAAGGGTATGATTATCATTTCAATTTCTTCAATTATTATTTGTTTATTCAATTTTTCTATTTATTTTTATGCTCCCTGTTTTATCTTACATATTTCCAAAACTTCATTTGTTTCTTCCAAGTTTTCAAAGTTATCACCATATTTTTTGTCTGCTGTGCCAGTAGTTATTTTCTCTGTTAGAGACTATATTTTATTTGATTTTTCTCTTGCTTTCTTGTTCAGTCCTGTTAGAGACATTCATCCTATCAATCTTTCCAAAGAGCAATGTCCAGGTAGGGTTCATCAGGAAGCTTACTTTAAGACAAAGAGTAGGCTACAGGATGTTGGGAAGTGCCTTTGGGTTTGACACTCATAGAAAGGAGAGAAGAAAGCAGGGTTGAGGAAAGGGAGAAGTCAGGCTGTGAGGCAGGAGTCAATCAAAGCCTTGGCCCACCACTGAGATTTTTCTGGAGCTACAATGTCAGAGGTGGCCCACTACAGTTCAAATGACTGTACCTTATATCATAGCTTGGTCAGTCACTGGTTGTGGGCTGCTCAGGGAAGGCCATGACCTTGGCCGAGGACACTCTTCTGCAACTGGGGATCTCCTAGAGGCTGACAGCTACAAGCTGTCTCCTGACAGCACTCATGTCCAAGCCCACTACAATTTCTAGTTTTGATTGTTCTCTGCCTTGCTGTTTGGTGTTCTATTTCCTTAATTTCTGTTATCTTTATCTTTTTCTTTTCTTCATGGTCTTTCGA